GATTCTCACTTAATGTTGATAGAAATTATTGTTGTTAATAGAAATTGAGGAGCTTTCTGAGCAGAGACCCATATGTCAGCCAACAATCTGTGGGATACACTCAGTTGGTGCCCAGTGAAGTGTCATGGTGGATATACACTTTGTGTGGCAGATTAGAAAGACCTTTATAGTTGCCATTAAGGTAATTATGATCTGTCACAGATCTGCTGTTAGTGGGGAGGGGAGTGAGGGACATCTTAGTCTTTGACATTTTAGAAGAGGTAGCTGTGTTAGTCTGTGCAAGCATATCAAGCAAAACTAAAAGAAAAATAAAGACAAAAGTATTTAGGCACCTTAAAGACTAAGGATTGTATTTTAATGTAAGCTTTCATGGACCTTCATAACCCATTTCTTGAGACATACTAGGTGGAAAACAGAGATTAACATTGTAAAATATTCACGCTGGACTCCTAAGAGTCAGTGGTGTCTGGTTGCATTTCATATGTGCCATAATTTATAGCCTCTCTTTGGTATTCAGTTCTGCAAACATTCCAGCAAGAAAACACAAAACCAGGCAAAAGCAAAGAGAGGGAAAAGGTAAAGTGAAAAGAATTTTAAAGACCAACTGTAAGTAGTAACATGGTTAAAGGAAACAACTAGTCTTTGGAGCAGCTCCTGTCATCCTGGAGGAGGAAAACTGCCTAGATCCATTCCAGTCTGGATTCAGACCATGGCACAGTACTGAGACAGTAGTGGTCAAGCTGCAGGATGACCTTTTATGAGCGGCTGACAAGGGAACTTGTTTCCTGTTGCTTTAGATGGATCTCTCAGCAGCTTTTGATGCTTTCAGCCATGGTATCCTTCTGAACAGGCTCTTGAAGGTGGGGGTTGAGTTAGTTACTTAGCTGGGTCTGGAGGTCATCTGGAGATTTGGGGTGCGGTGTCATCAGTATGCTGATGATACCCAACTGTATCTTTCCTTTTCCACCTCTGCAGTGGGTGCTATCCAGGCACTGGAGCAGTGTTTGGTTTCAGGACTAGAATGGGATAGGTGGGCTCAAACTGGACCCAGATAAGACAGAGATTATCCTCCTGGGAGGGTGGTCCCTCTGATAGGTTAAGGGATATCCTCCCTTAGGTAGATGGTGTAGACCCCCTGCTTAGGGATAGTCCAGAACCTGGGTGTTCTCCTGGACTTGACTCTTTCCTGGGATTCCCAAGATGCAGCTGTGTCCAGGACAGCCTTTAATCAGCTGAGGCTCATTGTCCAGCTCTGCCCCTACCTAGATGACAGAGTCCTCAGGATTTTGTTTCATGCATTGGTGATCTCTAGGATCAACTACTGCAGTAGTCTCTACATGAGACTCTACTTTTGAGGCTGACCTGTAGACTACATCAGGTCCAGAATGTGCAGCCAACTGGTGGCACGTGTGGTCAGATTTGTTCACATCTCCCCAGTCCTGATTCACTTGCACTTGCTTCCGCTTGTGTTCGAGGTCAGGTTCAAGGTATCAATGCTAACCTTTAAAGCCCTTCATGGTTTGGATCACATTATGTGTCAGAGATTACCTAGATCCTCTCAGGCGATGCTCTTCCAGGTGGCTATGCTGAAGGAGGCCAGGAAATCATCCACAAGAAATCAAGCCTTCTTGGTGGTGGCACCATCCCTGTGGAATTGCCTCCCTGCTGAGCTACACCTGACCCTCTTCCTCCCAAGTTTTAAGAGGCAGCTGAAGGCTCTTCTCTTATGGAAGGCTTTGGAAGACATTCTCTTTTGAAATTTTCCATCTCTGTTCCACTTCTCTAACTCTTTGCACCTTCTGAGCTTATGCCAGATTTTTGGCATTATTTTATGCTTCGTTGTGATTTATACTGTATTTATCTTGTTTTTTTATGTGGGCCTCCTAGAATAGTGATGTGCATTCATGGGGTGGTATAGAAATTCCATCCATCCATCAATGAATGAATGAATGAATGAATGAATGAATGAATGAA